TCCTACTCTGACCTCCACAGGCACCAGACATTAATGTGGAGCACAGACATTCACACGAATAAAATAAATATATGTTTTAAATGGCCTTTCACTTGGGCATTGTGGCACATGCCTTTAATCCCAGTATTTGGGAGACAGAGGCAGGTGGATTGCTATGAGCTCAAGGCCAGTCAGAGCTACATGAGACCTTGTCTTAAAAATACAAAACCACACCAAACCAAACAGCAACAAAAACAACCTTGATTTTCTAAAATACTACTTTGGCCAGGAATGGTGATGCAGGTCTGTAATACGGCACTTCAGAAATGGAGGAGAAGGAGCAGTAATTAAAAGCCCTCTTCAGCTACACAGTAAGTTGGAGGCCAGCCTGGTGAGCCACATAAGACTCCATCTCAGATATCACAATAAATATCATGTAGTTAATAAACTACTCGCAAGTCTTAAATACTGATTTCCAAATTTAGTATTAGAGGACTGGCCCAAAGAAAAACATCCTGCTAAGTGGTGGTGGTGCACACCTTCAATCCTAGCACTCGGGAGGCAGAGGCAGGTGGATCTCTGAGTTTGAGGCCAGCCTGGTCTACAGAGCGAGTTCCGGACAGCCAGGGCTACACAGAGAAAAACAAATCAAAGGGAAAAGAAGAATCTTTAGGATGGTGAATGCTATCAAGCTGTCACTAGAGACGGGGTCATTATGTAGTCCTGGTTGGCCCAGAATGCCTTAAGTAGACCAAGCTGGCCTCTGCCTCCTAAGTGCTGGGAAAAGAAAAAGCATGTTAGAATCTTGCCACGCTGATACTTCTACCAAACATCTCCTTTCTTAAATTTTTTTAATCAACCAATGTTAGTATTAAGCTTTAAACTTGAATGCAAGATTCTAGGGCTATTTGGTTAGGTACTAAACACTGCTCCTTTTTGTAGCACACTTGCCTTAATGACTTCCATGCCAAGTAGTCTCTTTGATAGGGAAATCCATTAGGGTAAATCAACCTAAACCAGTTAAACAAAAAATGCAGTTGCCTGCAACTTCATTTAGAAGATATTTATATTCAGAAAAGGCTAGACTCTGGGTGAATACTGGATGTCAGCCACTGTATTATCCACTCCTGGGAGGTGGATGTGGCTACCAAGGATCCATTTCATGGAAAGGAAGTAGAACTGTAATTTTTTTGTAACTTGTCCTGCCAGGAAATGGTACTTATTCTTTGAACTCAAACCTCAAGGAAGAACCTCATACCTATTCTTGCTGGAAACAAGCAAGAATATATACATATATTAGTAATATATATTTATATATTATATATAAATATAGTGTCTCCAGGTACTATAGTAGATCTTAAGTAACTGAAAAACCCAAAATATTAACTCAAACTTCATAAGCAATGGCTGAATTTCTTTCAGCCCTCTTTTTAATACGCCAAATAATCCAGACCATGGGCTTTCCCAGACCTTTAATCATTTATGGTCTTCTTTGCCATACCTACCCATTAGAACAATTTTAAAAAAAACACACTAACACTGTGCCAATTATTTTCAGAAGCGGAGCGATACTAATCAAGAGATCCTAATGGTCTTAAACACTATTCTCAAACGAGAAAAGATAAATGGAGATTGGGAAACTTGTATTCTAAAGTGCCACCATCTAGATAAAATTACCCTGTGAATTGGAGCAATTTCAATCAGACCCTGTAAAACTGAACATTTTTCTCAAGACCAGAATTAGAGAGTAACTATAAGATAGCTGAAGGGCCTGAACTCTGAAAACTAAAAAGGCTTTCCACATGGCAACCCACCAGCAAAAGCAGGCAGTGGAAACTAGCTAGAGTATCAACAGTTTAGAACAGTAATAAACAAAATGACAACTGTAGTCACTGCATGGCCATTCTATTTTCCCTTATCCTGGAACTTACTATATAGACCAGGCTAGCCTCATCACATCTGGCTCATTCTACCTTACTATAAATAAGATCATAACTACTTTCAGCTGGGCAGTGGTGGCGCACACCTTTAATCCCAGCACTTGGGAGGCAGAAGCAGGTGGATCTCTGAGTTTTTGAGGTCAGCTTGGACTACAGCATGAGTTCCAGGGCAGTCAGAGACATATAGAGAAACCCTGTCTCGAAAAACCAAAAAAAACAAAAAAAAAAACAAAAAAAAACAAAAAAAAACCATAGCCTGCTTAAATAAAGCCTTAAATGTCTTATTACATGTGTCCTGAGTTTTCAGTCAATACATTACATACTAAGAGAAACTCCAATAGCATTTTCTAAGTATTAAAAACTCAATTATGTTTTATTACTGGGTACTAGCATTTCCATTAGTCATTAACACACAACCAACTGGTTTATAACAAAAATAAACCAGAGTAGGTATACAATTTATTTAATTATCTAACTCACAAATCATTTTTAAAATGACTGTTTTCTATGTACACGGTCAGCCCATTAATAATTATATCCAAATGTCATATTCACTATTTAGTAATAAGGGCTCATGTATTTTTGGAAAGAGAATTATCACACTTAGGATCCACTCAACAATGTACTCAGCAAGATAAGCACTAAATTATTAAGTGAAGGAAGTGTAGGCGGATCCAACTCAACTGTGTGACAGGAAGCACCAGCTATGGAAGTTTAGAAACAGGAATACCAAGTTTCATGCTAGCACAAGGAAAAAACATGCCGGTGAATAAAGACAAAAGAGGAAGTTCTTTCCAGCAAAAGACTACATATTAAAGACAAAAATCATCCCCAAGGTTAAAAAAAAAGTATCACTTAAAAGTTATTAGTAAAAAAAAGTGTGTGTGTGTGTGTGCGCACGCGCATGTAAAGGTAGTCAAGGAGACCAGAGGAGAGCAAGGAGTTACAGGAGGTACGATCCATCTATGTGGATGCAGGGAGCTGAACTCAAATCCTCTGCAAGAGCAGGGAGGGTTCTTAACCACTGAGCCATCTCTCTAGTCCCTAAAATTATTCCCTTTTAAAACAGGCTTGAATAAGAGTCCATTCCCCAGCTGGGTGTGGTGGTGGGTGCCTTTAATCCCAGCACTTGGGAGGCAGAGGCAGGAGGATCTCAGTGAATTCCAAGATAGCAAGGTTGTCACACAAAGAAACACTGTTTAGAGAAGGAAGAAAAATAAAAGGAAGGAAAGACCAACTTATTTCTCCCCAGGTGCACTGGAGCCTGAATTTTATGGAGCACAGAGAGGAAGACACTAACTTGGCTCATGGTTTACACATCTTGGGGGTTTACCGAGCAACTTAAGATCAAGCCATTAAGTCATTAATATAGAACTTTGCTGATTCTACAGAGATGGTGACAGGCAACTTTAATCCAAGCAGTTGGGGCCTGTCTAGTCTACAAAGTTCAAGGCCAGCCAGGGCTATATATGATCCTGCTTCCAAATAAATAAATAAATACAGACAGACAGACAGACGTAAAAGTTTGGCGATTCGCTTTTTCCCAGGTCATTAATTACTTAAACGTCATTCTTAAAAAGCGTGTAAGTTTCACAACCTAAGTATATGTAACAGTACTGAGCCACACAGCTTAAAAATGACTAGGACGGCAAATTTTGTTTACCACACAAAAATGCTTATGTTAATGAGAAATTGCTTCACTTAAACACCAACATATGATTCCTCAAAGGCCAAAATTATTTTTTTTAATAATTTAGTGTTTAGTGGTGAATTGCTACAATAAAAAATCCCACGTGGACAAAACCTTTATTCCTGAACTGCAGAGTCAAAGCAAAGCAGTATTTTCATTTAGCATCTTTCAAGTCATCTAAATTACTTACTGCCAAAACCCACTAGCTATGAAAATCTAAGTGTATGTTTCTACGTCAGCTGATTCCTTCATTCAGCTGAAGTGAAACTCTAGAAATTAGAGAGCAAGGTATTTAAGTGGGTAGGTTTCCCCCCCTACACAAACCCCCCCCCCCGCAGTTGTTATTTAGGGTACTGAGGTAGGTGACATTCCCCACTTTGGCCCTCAACAGGACGGCAGCCAAGAATGCTAAGGTCAATCATTTCCCATCCCTGCTAACGCACCCTACCAAAAATCTGTCACGCTTTTGTGAACTCCCGTCAAGTTCTGCTCAGAGAAGTGTACGACCCAGGTTAGTCTTGCAGTTTGAAAAAGGCCTGGAAAGACCAGCTAAGCTTGGCTTGGCCACGTCTTGGTAAGCGTCCAGGGGGGGATAAAAAAAGGAGAGGGAGGGCTTCAACTTTGCACAACCCCCTTTTTCTCAGTCACACCTAGCTTCCTTTCCAGAGAAGAGTGTTCTCGAAAGATCTACCTCTTCAACTCAAATGCCACGACCAGATCAGCAGCTCCAGAGGCAAGTAGGGCTCAACCCACGCCCTTATCTTCCAGAACCTTCTACCAGAGTCAGGCTGGTCCCCATACAAACCGTCCACGGCGACCCCAGCTCACGCCTTGGCCGGTAGACAAGCTGCCCAGGGCGTCTGCAGGAGAGCCCGGCCTGGGCCGCCAATGACACCTCAGGGCCCCGCGCCTGGACCCGGGGGAGACGTGCGGCCGCGAACCGACCCAGGGACAGGGGAGAGGAGCAGACGCCTCACCTTGACCCTGATCTCATAGGTGGTGAAGCGGCCCCGGCCGACCCCCACGGTCTGCGGGTTGCTCACATCGATCTCGAGGAAGTTGCTGGGCGGCCCGTAGGCGTCATTCAGGTTCTGCGGCTTGGTGATCAGCCGCCGGGTGTCCGCTACGGTCTCCGCCATTTCGCTGTCGCCGCGGCAGCCGCGGGCTCTGTACACCTCCTCCGCCTATTGCCAACGCCACCGCCGCAGCCGCCCGCCGCGGGGACTCCGGTCTCGCGCGCAGCGGACGGAGGCGAACGAGCACGTAGGGCGAGCCAGCAGGCGGGCGGGCGGGCGTTCGCTCCCTGCGAAGCTCCGCCCCAGGCCGCTCGGGCTTCCGCCCTTTGCCCAGGGAGAAACAGCTGACCGGCTTGAACGCCGCGCCCCGGAACGCAGGCCCCGCGGCGCCCCGGAGGGACACTGCGGGGTGGGGCCGTGGCGCAGCGGTGTCACGGGACTAAGAGCGCCCAAGATCTGGCGGGACTACAATGACCACAGTGCACCGGGTGAGCGCGCCGCCGCCGAATGTTACGCAGGCGCAGTAGGGAGGGGTGCTGAGGAGTTGGTGTGAGTTCCGGTTTTTGTGACTCAGCCTCGGCCCGGGGGGACCCCCGGAAATGATTTTAGCAGTCTTGGCGCATTGGAGGTAATAGTGGGTACTGCAGGAAGGAGACCAAACTGCCCACACGGCCAGCCCAGTGCCTCACTGGGATCCCTGAAAATTCACTTCTAGAAACCTTAAAATAAACGTCTCAAACGAATCAATGCACATCTGTAAGCCTGACATTTGGGGGTTGGAGACCAGAGAATGAGTTCGAGGCCAGCCTGAGTTATATGAACCTCTGTCTCAAAAAAACAAGGGAGCCGGTGGTGTAGTTCACTTGTTAGATTGATTGCCTGGTAGTCATAACGCCCTGGTTTCAATCCCTAGGACGGGCGTACATCCTGACGTTAATTGTAATGCCAACACTCGAGATAGTGGAGGCCTGAGGATCAGAAGTTCAAGGTCATCCTGTTCCACACTGTTAGATTCAAGACTGTAAATAAGGGAGTGGAATTTTTAAAAACTGGTAAGATCAAACTAAGGTCAAATTTGTGTCTAAAGACAGGTCTGCCCCCTAAAACAAAAATATAGGACAAGCTGAAAGCCACGTCAGGAATCCTGTCTGGATAAGCTGCCGTTCTTGTTTCCCGCAAATCCCAGTAAGTTGGTTTTGCTCTTATGTGGTAAATGTGCCTGTATTACACTTGGAATTCAGCTTAGATAAGCCTTTAAACAAAATGGAAGAGCCACAGAAAGATTCTGTAGGGGGTGAGGTGGGAGATAGGAAAATAGGGGAGTGACAAGAACTCAGACACCAAGAGTCACTGCATTGTGCTGTCATCCATGACACCTGACAGAGCCAGCATGTCTCCTAGGCAGCTTCTGATAGCTTCCTCAGAGACCCTTAGGCCAGCCTACAAAACCGCATTGTAATGCGATTGTAAAGCTAGCCAGTTCCGGAGTTACCAGTTTATTTTTGCAGTACAGGAGATCTGAAAAAGATAGAGTTGGAGACGTGGTTCCTTGGTTTGTACCAGCACGAGGACCTGAGTTTGCAGCAAACTAGGCTTGCCGATACCACCACTAACTACAACACTGTGCGTGTGCAGTGTTGTGTGTGTGCGTGCGTGTATGTGTGCGCGTGCATGCGTGTGTTTTGTGTGTGTGTGTGTGGTGGGGAGCTAGGAGAATACTGGGGTTTGTCGGTACCACCACTAA